CTTTGCTCCCGGTGCCTCTGGTCTGCTGGGGACCATCTCCAGCAGACCAGGGACACCGGGAGCCCCAGGCGCTCCTGGCGGCTTTGCTCCCGGTGCCTCTGGTCTGCTGGGGACCATCTCCAGCAGACCAGGGACACCGGGAGCAAAGGAGGCGGAAGGGCGCTGGGGTATAAGATGAAACCCTATCTTTTAATTAAAAAGATAGGGGGTCGTCTTATATGCCCAGTCGCCCTATACGCCGGAAAATACGGTAATATTCAGGGTAATGAAGAGTCTGGGCTTTATCCAGTGAGTGACTATGAGTCAGGTCTCCTGAAGCTTGCTGGGACGCTTGACTCTGACATTCCCACAGTTCTCTGGTGGTTCACTAAGATGTAATTTATATTCATTATTGATCCTCATCTGCTAAATTGAAAGCCTTTTTTCTTCTTCTTTCAGTGAACACTAAATAAAAGCTGGGGGGTGGAGGGGGCCTTGAAGGGATAGCAATACAAATAGAATTCTCCACATTAAGAGTTAGAGAGGCAGGCAGATTTTCAACATCACCAAAGACCCAAAATTAGCTTCCTCTGCAGCCAATGGCAAAACTCCCATTGAGATCAGAGATAGCACAAATCAAGCAGCAAGTCTTTGCAAAACCCATTTTGAAATGTATGGTTGGCTTGTGCAACCAGAGCTAAATGATTTTTCAGTTCAGTGGCTAAACCAAAACATTCAGAATAATTTGGTTTGTTTCAAACTGAAAGTAAATGTTTCCAGTTTCTCTCAACAAAATTCAAAAACTCCCCAAATTGTATTCAATTCCAGAAAAACATTTAAAAATGTTCATTTTCAATTGACATTCTTGTTTCAAAAATGGTGATTTGAAGTAACATTGTCCAAACAGTTTATGTCAAATTTCTGAATATTTTGTTTTCAGGGGGAGTTTTTTGGCTAAAATTATTAGGCATATCTGCCTAGAATTTGTGAATAATTTCCATGCATTGCCCAGTTCTACTTATGGGAAATATTAGCTCAAGTTTTCCAGCATTATTAATCAAACATTGTTGGCAGAAAAATCTTGTTTGTAACTCTGAGTTCACTGAAGAACTCAGTTCATCTATTTTTATTTCTATTCCAGATATTCGCCTCTTCCTTTATTTTATCTCCTTTCTACTCACTGTTTCAATGTTTTGTAAAGGGAAATCTTCAGGTTTTTCACCTTGTCAAAAAGCTGCAGCCAGGCACCCTGCCAGTAAAAGCTCAATGCTGGATCAACATTCCCTTCAAACCATCTGAGCACATTCTTAGTCTTTCCAGACTGCGAAAATACGTCTGACACACAGGCTGTGTTTACAATGTGCTTTTCTCTTAAAAATTACCACTGTAGCACTGCCAGCAGTGTAGCACTATCCTTGTGAGACAGAGTGTTTTTATCCCTATGTCAGTTGACCCTCTTTTAGCACATGTAGATGATATGGTAAAAACAACAGGAAAGGCATTTGTAAACTAGAGTTGCACACTTCCAACCACTGGAATAGTAGCACCAGTGTCCATTCCAAACACTGTTTCTAAGACCATCTTCTTTGCTCATCACTCCAACAGGATCACATCGCAGCCCTTTTTGCATCCTTCCTGTGGCTTCCTTTTTGTACCCCATCAGACACAAGGTCCTTGGCTTTAAAGACTATGGAAGGTCCTTCACCGTTTACTCCCACCCCCTTTATCAGTCCTAATGTCTTTTCTTGCTGTTGGCCCTCATCTTAGTTCTGCAAGCGATGGTCCATTTGCCTTATCACTTCTCACTCAAGCACATGCCTGCTTTCTCTCACACTGCCATCTTTACATTGAAAAAGCTCCCTGGCAAAATTCCTTATCAAAGGCTCTTTCTGCTGCAATGTCCACACTATTGCTACCAGCTGGCACTGGTTGGGCATGTGATGAGCAGTGGCTTCTCTTTTCCTGATCAACTCTATTTTGTTATTCATGATTAAGTGTCCATTCAACTCTTCTCCACTGTTTGTATGATGAGCTCCCTGGAGAGAAGCTGCCTTTCTTAGATTTCAGTACTGTATCTAGTACAATAAGGCCTGATCCTTGACTGAAGCCCGTAGCCATCAAAGAAATAAACAAGTCAGGGAAATTTTAAGAAAAGGCTCAGTGAAGAGAACAACATGATTGTTTATGTTTAGACCCCTCGTTTGTCTCTATCTTGAGAAAAACTGGAAGCTGTTAATTAAGACTTTCATCTTCAGTATAGCCATAATTTACATTGTATTATACAGATGCAAATTACAATGCTGTGAGAAGGGAACATTATAAGAATAGAGCAAAGGATGCATGAAGATTCATAATTCAATTTGCAATTAACATGAATAGCCAGATTCTGACAAAATACATAAGTAAGAGTATTATAATTTGGCCCCAGTGCCTCAACCTATTAAAGACACACTGAAATAAACCACGTATGGAGAACATTCAAACTAATTCTGCTTATAGTGAATCAGACTACATACAGACATGCTTTAAAATCTACAGTGTGATAGGGTACAAATCCTAATTATTGGAAAAAGAAATTATTTGTTGATTGAATTATTTAATGGACGCAGTGCAACCCATACTATTACAATAACCATCCAAACAGAAGTGTGACAGTGCCCTTCCCACACTGGAACATCCCAGACTGAAAGGACTAAATCTGTGATTAGAAATAAAGAAAATATGTTAAAGTTCAATAGGGATGAATCTGCAACTTGAAAACCAATGTCTCTCTAAATAAACAGCTGGAGCCTAGACACTGGCTGCATAAGCTTCCCCCACAAAATTCAGCCTCAATTTGGAGGGATCTCATTGGGGGTGAGAGGTTACATTAACCTCTATGTCTCTCTCAGTCCTTAATAACTCTAGTAAGACTTCATCAGTCATAGCTTTTTTTTGGGAGGGTGGGGGAGGTGGGTGCTGTGCTGAGGATACCTGTCCCTAAGGAACTGGACTGACACCCACTAGTTCAGTTCAGGTCACTATATTAGAAACAGCATTCAGCTGGCAGTAACTTTCCATCACAGGCTTAGAGTTTGACCACATGACAATCTCTACATCACTGCTGTCAGCTAAGAGAAGTACTTCAATTCTTCACCAACAAAGCTTGATTTTCCTCATATCAACTTCATCTCCTATTCAATTACTATGTTCTCAAATCACTCGAACAGCAATTTCTAAAATCATAAATGCAGCTAGAACTTATTTTAGGTCCCCTCCCTTTTGGTTTGATGACTCCCTGAAGATGGTAACTTCATTATTTATTTATTTCATTATATTCCAAGACCATCAAGGAGGGGAAATAGTAATGAAAGTCATTTTATCCAAGGCATCTATTTAGCAAAGCACTTAAGCACAACTTATCCTATGTCTATTGTACAAAGCTCTTCAGCGTAGAATCCAGAGGGTTGGAAGAGACCTCAAGAAGTCATTGAGTCCAACACCTTGCTAAAAGCAGGACCAATCTCAGCTAAATCATCCTAGCCAGGCTTTGTCAAGTTGGGACTTAAAAAAACCTCTAGGGATGGAGATTCCGCCACCTCCCTAGGTAACCCATTCCAGTGCTTCACCACCCTCCTAGGGAAATAATTTTTCCTAATATCCAACCTAGACCTCCCCCACTGTAACTTGAGACCATTGATTTTTGTTCTGCTATCCGTCACAACAGTCTCTCTCTATGGAATCCCCCTTCAGACAGTTGAAGCATATGTTTATGTTCATGTGACTTCAAGCTCATGTTTAAATATTTTGCTGCATAGGAATGGACTTACCTGTGCTTGAAATAAAGCATGTCCTTAATTGTTTTACTTAACTGGGATGCTATGCAAGCACCAGAATCATTTGAGAAAGCATATTACTTCAAGCATTCTATTTCAGTCTCTTATATTTCAAGTGAAGAATACAGGAATTAGGTACCAGGTTACCAGACTTTATTACATGAGCCATACCTTTAGGACCTGCTCTAAGTTCTCCAGCTTGGCTTGGAGCTGGTGTTTCTCCTTCACAGCCAAATCTCGTTCTTTGGTCACTATGGTGAGGGTTTCTCTAAGCCGAACATAGTCTGATTTCACCTAAAAATATATATAAAAAATAAAATAAAAAGGAAGAATGAGAGATAAAGTGCTCTCAATAAAGACAGTTTACCAAGAGAAAAGCACATCTAACACCATTTGCTTGGCCAATTCTGCCCAAGGCTATTACAGGGGTAAAGGAAAAATACAAATCAGAAAATAAGAGATATGAAACAAAAAACAAAAATTGAAACCAGGTAAGGGGTTAAATGTGAGTGAAAAAAGGAAACAGTACAAGAAGGAAATCATGTGAGTATCATAATGAGAATACCACTCTCACTTAGCTACAAACAATCTGACAATCAAAATGTCATAAGTTAAAAACTATAGGGAAAAAACGAATACAGTACATATAACAGTAAACATGCAAAATAGATAAAGATAATTCAGTTCAAATAGTTTTGTTTCACTTCACTCCACCCCGCACCCCTTGTCTATATGCAGTTTATCTAGGTTCTAATCCTGCACAGAGATCTATTAGTGTAGGCTTCTGCTGATACAGTGTTACTCCAGGCAGATGTGGGGAGCTGTTTTAGACCATGCAGCTGTTTGCAGGATCAGAACCCCCAACTGAGGCACTGGCCTTGCAAACATCAGTGCATGAAAGTAACTTTATTAATGAAGATATTTCCATAGATTTTAATAAGGCCACTTGTGTGACTAAAGAGACACACATGCGTAAGTGTCAGCTGTGTCAAGGCTTGTATCTGAATAGCTCCTACCACATTGGTGTTATAGATATAAAAGCAACATCATATGATTCTTCCTCCTCTCCTCCTCAGAGATGTGAATATAAACAGATCCCATGTGTACCACTTCAGATTTAATCTTCTGACTTCATCAGGTCAGCCTGTTCTAAACTAATAATAAGCATAACCAACAGAGCAGAGTTAAAATTTATAATCAAATTATTTTCCATTCTGAAGGAAAAGAAATATTCACATGCACACAGTGAAAACTGTATTTTCCCTAAAAATCTTTGCACTTGTCCTACATCCAAGTAAGACGATGTCTGGAGGTTAAGTTATTCAGCAAATAAGGCTTAACTTCCTAATTACTTTACCCAGTTAGCTTAACCTTTCAGTACAAGTAACTCAGTACAAAAATAGAGGATTTTTATCTACAGATAATATGGAGACTATGCAATATACATTACATATATACATTGTATATTTAGAAAATAATATATTCCATTTATATTCTATGAACCCATTCTCTTTCTTGATCTTTTGATCCATATCCTCAGGTAGTATAAACTGATTTGAGACCTATACTGGCCCTTTACATTGTTCAGGTTTAAGCACAAACTACGAGTCCAGTAATGTAACAATTACAGAGTATAGCACATCAGAAATTGATACTTTCAGAACAAACCACCACGAAGAATATTAACAATTTAAATCCACTACCAATAAATACATAAATTAAATATATAACATTTACATAATCTTGATGAACACAAATCTTCACAATGCTACTTGCAGGCAAACAAACAAAGTAAAGACCATACCATTTTAAGCTCAATATCGATCTGGATAACATCTGTTTTCTTTGTCCGGTTGACAATCAGAGATGTAACAGTGAAAGCAGGATTAGCAAATGCATGATTGGGGTGAGGAAAGGAAAGGCAGCACAATAATTATAGGGGAAAAATGTCAGCTCCAATCTTGGGTCAAAGTTAGTCTTTCCTTTCCAACACAGCTATCGGGGTGGTAAGTTCTCAGTTTGCTTAGTAAAGATGCATTTTTTAAAATCCAAAACCATTAAACAACCACCTATGGGCATATCTGTTCAGAGAAAATCCTGGAAAACCATATTTGGGAGGCTTCTTTCACCTTTCCAATTTACCGTCTGGCTTTGGTTTGTTAACTTATGAATTTCACAATGATTCAAATAGATAGAATTTAAACTTTTCTGTATAATCCTGCTATTTGTCTTTTCAGAGGGATTTTTGGAGTGCAATGGACTGGAAAAGAGAAAGAACAAATATTTGTCTTCCAGGATAACTAATACAACTATCATCATCCTCAGGGAATTTTTTTCTTTAGGTATATTTTATTTTCCCTTTCCATTCAAAACTATTTCAGTGGATATCCAGAAGCTATTAACTTCCTGCATATTTGGCATTGTCTTTCATGCATCATATCTTTTGATGTACATTGTAAATAAATAACATGGTGGGAAAAGGGAGGTGATGAAATATTGCCATCAACAATGCAAGTGTGTTATTGTCTGTGATTCTCAGTTAATTCTCTAAGGATGGATGAACAACAAAAGTTTTGAGCAAGCTACAAAAAGGGATTTACACTTTAGCATGAAAAAAGTAATTATTTAATTGTGATAACTAAAAATACTGGGTTTGAATAAAGACTATGCCAAGGACATTTAAAAACACACATCAGATAAAGATTAAAAAAAAAAAGAACCAAAACTTGAGGAATGTCTAAGGATGAAAAGAGAGAGACAGATATCAGAGGAGGGAGAGAAGGAGAAAGTATGGATGGATGCTTAAAGGTTTAGGAGATGTGAGGAAAGGGGTGCATCTACCCTGCACTAAGGAGCAGGGAGTAGCCCTGGCCCAGGTAACGGAAAATGCCTCACCCCGCAGTCCTGCTGGGCATGCTCCTAGGGAAGTCAGGGTATAAAGCCCAGGGAGCCAATCAGTCGGGGCTGTCCTCAGGAGGGGAAGGAGTTCAAGCCAGAGCTCCTGAAAAAGCCCCTGCAGCAGCAGCAGCAGCCACCACACCTAGGGTTGCCAGATGGTTACAACAAATACTGGACACACTTGACATGACATCACAATCGACATTCCATCTTATTTAGAAAATACCGGACATTTATATTTTCTCAATTTGTTTCCCAAACAGAAAGCTCAAATACTGGACTGTGCGGTTCAAAACCAGACACCTGGCAACCCTATCACCGCTCCCTGGTACTTTGGGAGGCTTACCCGTGGACTAGGCCTCTAGGACATAGTGACTCAGAGAGAGGGGAGTGTGTTTGTGATTAGGCTGGAAGGCCGTATATACCCTGATAATGGGAACTGTACTTTGGGACTAGTCCTGCAGGGCTATGTATTCCCTGATAGAGGGGGCTGTGTTTTCAATTAGGCCAGAAGGCAGTATATACCCTGATAAAGTAACATTAACTACAAACTGAGTCTATGAGACAGGTTGGCCCTGAGAAAAGGAAGCCCTACTACCCTAGATTTTGAGGACTTCAAGATTGAGGGGGCTTGTCCCTCAACACATGGGGAAAAAGCTATTATGAGTAGGAATTTTGGAAAAGACATCATGATAAATGGTGTCTGAGAGTACAGAAAGAAGATTTAGTCAGAATGTCTTTAGTGGGAAGGACATGAGGGGAGACCAAAGAGAGAAAAAGACTTGGGGCAGGTTGTAGGTAAATCTGAAGTAAAGGTAAAAATAAAGAACTGGGAGATATGGTATGGGGGAAATGGAGGAAACAGAGGAAAGAGAATTGGAAAAATAAAGCAGAAGTGGAAATACAATGACAAAAGGTTGGGGCAGAACAAAGAAATACAAGGAATGGCATTGAGATAAAAGAGAGAATGAAAGCAAAAGAACAGTCAGAGAAGGCAGAAAAAATTGGGAAAACACACAGGGTATCTCTACACATCAAAGTTAATTCAAAATAATAGCCATTATTTCAAATTAACTTTCCTAGTGTCTACACAGGCAAACTGCTATTTTGAAATAAAATCGAAATAGCGGGGCACTTATTTTAAATTTGGTAAACCTCATTCTACGAGGAATAACACCAAATTTGAAATAGCTAATTCGAAATAAGCGCTGTGTAGATGCTTATTTCGAATTAGGGGGCCTCCAGCCCTTCCCAGTTTCCCCTGGTGGCCACTCTGGGCCAAACCAGGAAAACTCCTCTCCTCCCCTCCCCTCCCCGGAGCCCGTAAAGGGGTAGACTCTGGCCATAGTACATGGCCTGCTACAGGCCTGCCAGCACAGAGCCAGCAGTCACTGACCCTCACCCAGTGGCCCCAGTATGAGCCGGGCAGCCAGGGCCAGCCAGCTGTCCCCTGCCCGGAGACGGTGGGCACTCTCCTGGACTAGTGGGGAGATCATGGACCTCATTGAGGTTTGGGGAGAGGCCTCCAATGTCCATTATCTCTTCACTAGATGGAGGAACACCACCGTGTACAGCCGCATAGCTGCCACCATGGTCACCAAAGGCCACATGCGCACCCAAGAGCATGAAGATTAAGGAGCTGCGACAGGCATATGCCAGCGCCACTCAGGGCTGCTCCTCAACAGGGGCAGACATCTGCCCCTATTTTGACACCCCGGACCACATCTTGGGGGGCAAGACAGTCCATGCCACCCTGGGGGTCATCGATCCTGGAGCAGAGGGCCCTGACCAGAGCATGGAGGAGGAGTGCCAGGAGCTGCAGGAGCCCAGAGGGAATGTGCCATGCAGTCAGGACCCCCAAGCCATCCTAGCAGACTCTTCACCAGTGTCATCCGGGAGGCAACAATGTCCCTTTCCTGGGGGAAGACGGGGATGGGCACGGGGAGGGAGACCAGGATCCGTGCACATGAGCCTTGCTTTCCATGGATCACGCAGCAACCTATGCACGTGCAAGCACATGCAGTTCCACCCCTGGGCAGGTGGCTCCAGCTGCCTGCCACACAGGGGCTGTGGCCCGATAGCCAAACACGTGTGTGAAGAGACCTGAAATGCTCCTGACCCCGGGGTGGGACACAGCAGGACGCCCTCCCTTCACAAGTCCCCTCTAACATCTCCCCCCACCTCACCCACACTACACACAGCACAGGGGCATGGATGCGTTCTCAGGGCAACTCCCACTCCCAGGGATAGCTGGACATTCCAACCATGGCTTCTGTGCAAGCACAGCAGCTCTGACAGTGCAGGCACAGTCATCCTCACCTCGCAGAGGGGGGCTGGGCTTCACCCTCTGTGTCCCCGGGAGAACTGACCACTTCTCTTCTTTCTCCACAGCCACA